TACTTACCCGGTCTGTTCCAACAGTTATTTTAATGTTTATTGATTTCATGTACATACCATAATATTCTTGTCTTGTTTGGTAAATTATTTTATTGAAACAATACAATAAATGTAAATACATGTATAATCACCGGAGGCAAACTCCGGTGTCTTTCATTTGTCCCGTGTTTACAGCACATGTAATTGTTGTTTCAATCGAAGTTATGCCCACCCTGAATAAACCGACTCCCTCTGAAAACCGACCATAGATCCCAGTCCCAGTCATGGTCGGTTTTGACAGGTTTTACTGTATATGAAAGTTTGGCAGTGTGATATATGAAAGTTAGGCAGTGTGATATATGAAAGTTTGGCAGTGTGATATATGAAAATTAGGCAGTGTGATATATGAAAGTTTGGCAGTGTGATATATGAAAGTTAGGTGGTGTAATATAAAAGTTTGGCAATGTGATATATGAAAGTTTGGCAATGTGATATATGAAAGTTTGGCAGCGTTATATATGAAAGTTAGGCAGTGTGATATATGAAAGTTTGGCAGCGTTATATATGAAAGTTATGCAGTGTGATATATGAAAGTTAGGCAGTGTTATATATGGAAGTTTGGCAGTGTGATATATGAAAATTAGGCAGTGTGATATATGAAAGTTTGGCAGTGTGATATATGAACGTTAGGTGGTGTAATATAAAAGTTTGGCAATGTGATATATGAAAGTTTAGCAGTGTGATATATGAAAGTTTGGCAGCGTTATATATGAAAGTTAGGCAGTGTGATATATGAAAGTTAGGCAGTGTGATATATGAAAGTTTGGCAGCGTTATATATGAAAGTTAGGCAGTGTGATATATGAAAGTTAGGCAGTGTGATATATGAAAGTTAGGCAGTTTGATATTTGAAAGTTAGGCAGTGTGATATATGAAAGTTAGGCAGTGTTATATATGGAAGTTTGGCAGTGTGATATATGAAAATTAGGCAGTGTGATATATGAAAGTTTGGCAGTGTGATATATGAACGTTAGGTGGTGTAATATAAAAGTTTGGCAATGTGATATATGAAAGTTTAGCAGTGTGATATATGAAAGTTTGGCAGCGTTATATATGAAAGTTAGGCAGTGTGATATATGAAAGTTAGGCAGTGTGATATATGAAAGTTTGGCAGCGTTATATATGAAAGTTAGGCAGTGTGATATATGAAAGTTAGGCAGTGTGATATATGAAAGTTAGGCAGTGTGATATATGAAAGTTAGGCAGTGTGATATATGAAAGTTTGGCAGTGTGATATATGAAAATTAAGTGGTGTAATATGAAAGTTTGGCAGTGTTATATATGAAAATGAGGCAGTGTGATATATGAAAGTTTAGCACTGTGATATATAAAAATTAGGTGGTGTGATATATGAAAGTTTGGCAGTGTGATATATGAAAGTTAGGCAGTGTGATATATGAAAATTAGGTGGTGTGATATATGAAAGTTTGGCAGTGTGATATATGAAAGTTAGGTGGTGTAATATAAACATTTGGCAGTGTTACCAGGTATATATGAAAATGAGGCAGTGTGATATATAAAAATTAGGCAGTGTAATATATGAAAGTTAGGCAGTGTGATATATGAAAGTTTGGCAGTGTGATGTATGAAAGTTTGGCAGTGTTACCAGGTATATATGAAAATGAGGCAGTGTGATATATGAAAGTTAGGCAGTGTGATATATAAAAATTAGGCAGTGTGATATATGAAAGTTTGGCAGTGTGATATATGAAAGTTAGGCAGTGTGATATATGAAAGTTTGGCAGTGTGATATATGAAAATTAGGCAGTGTGATATATGAAAGTTTGGCAGTGTGATATATGAACGTTAGGTGGTGTAATATAAAAGTTTGGCAATGTGATATATGAAAGTTTAGCAGTGTGATATATGAAAGTTTGGCAGCGTTATATATGAAAGTTAGGCAGTGTGATATATGAAAGTTAGGCAGTGTGATATATGAAAGTTTGGCAGCGTTATATATGAAAGTTAGGCAGTGTGATATATGAAAGTTAGGCAGTGTGATATATGAAAGTTAGGCAGTGTGATATATGAAAATTAGGCAGTGTGATATATGAAAGTTTGGCAGTGTGATATATGAAAGTTAGGTGGTGTAATATAAAAGTTTGGCAATGTGATATATGAAAATTAGGCAGTGTGATATATGAAAATTAGGTGGTGTTATATATGAAAGTTTGGCAGTGTGATATATGAAAGTTAGGTGGTGTAATATAAAAGTTTGGCAATGTGATATATGAAAGTTAGGCAGTGTGATATATGAAAGTTAGGCAGTGTGATATATGAAAATGAGGCAGTGTGATATATGAAAGTTAGGCAGTGTGATATATGAAAGTTAGGCAGTGTGATATATGAAAGTTAGGCAGTGCACAGCAAATGTGATATCCCAGCATTCAATGCGTTTAGTACCATCCAATATACACTTTATCTCCGCACGAGGGCGCAATTTCAAATTGAAAGAAAAACTAGCATACACGCTATGAGCATTCTATGACCTCAATTGACCCACCAGCCTCATTCCCAACTTGATACTGGAATTCTCATTTTTTTGATGTATTTGAAGTTTTTTACCCGGATCGTTTTAATCATTTCAATAAATAGTTATGGACCATAATTGATTATGCGAAATTACTGCATTTTTGGTGGTTTTTGGCCTACTCCTCTCACTGTTATGTTAGAATTACCGTGAGAGTGCCTCCTATGGATTTTCAACATGGCGGCTCACAATGTTACGTTCGGTAAGTCTCCTTTTTTTTACGTTTTACACGAAAAATAAAGCAATTTTTAGAAAATAACATTTGATTTCTTCAATTGTTGGCGCCTTTTTTGTTGCAAAAATGTTGGTCGTGAAAATGAAAAACGTAATTTTGTTGGGGATGTCGA